TTTTCTCGTGCTTCGCACCAGCTAAATGTACAGCATTTGCATCAAGTTTTGATTAGTTCATTGGATAACCTGTACCCTTTGTGACTGACCAAAGCAGCAACTTTCAATTTGTTTTTATAACAATGGACAAACTTTCTATTACTTTGAATTGTAATAATACTAATCATGACAATAAAACTATGTTAAAATTATTGTTATTATTGTTATCGTTGTCGTTGTTATTATTATTATTATTATTATTATTATTATTATTGTAATTTACTACAAGTCTGACTAGCAAGCATTTTGTTGATGACTACTGTTTAACAATTGGTTTCTCATAAAGCAGACTGTACTTTGAAAATGCATTTGGAATTATAACAACAACAGCAATCTCTCAGTTAAAGTTGTCACCTTACCTGTCTAAAACATGGTCAAGAGCTCTCTTGCGATTTTTACTGTACACAGATGGAGTCTAAATTAAAGTGCAAAAATTAATATTTGTACATGACAAGAACACACATAATTGCACAGTGAAACCTCCATTTAACAAAGACCCTGGTATGATGAACGATATTCTTCACCTCAGTAATAGTTAATTATATGGAAAAGAACCTGATATATTGAAACTTGATTATAGCGAACATCTTTTTCCAGTCCCTTGGCCCTTTGTTAGATCAAAGTTTCACTGTATAACTGGTTGAGTGCCAAGCTACTAAAGCTCACTAACTGTGTAATACTTGAAACAGAGGGTCCTACAGTAGTTAATGTATCATGCTAGTATAATCATGCACAAAGGAAACTACTAATTTGTAACAAAGAGAGAATCGGGCTGTTATAATGGTAAATATTATAATATTGAATACAGTCCAACCTCCCATAAGTGACCACCCAAAATGTCAAGCCTATGTGGTCGCTTACTGGAGGTGGGCAGTTATGAGAGTTTAGGCTGCATTGGGTCAAAATTATTGTGCTTCATTAGCATATGGTTCACGACTGCAGAGACTTACAGTACTCCATGTTTTATTCATGTGAAAAGTCAATCTCAAGAAAAAATATGGCACTTCCCACTGAGAAATTTCTGTCTCTTGTGCTACCCAGAAATGTGATAATGTTACTACATTACCCAATTTCTGCTCTAATATCTCTCAAGTCATCACTTTAGGGAGGTTAAAAATCAAACAACATTTCAAACTTTTCGCTCTAACAATGGTCACAGCCATTTACAAGAAGTGGTTGCTTACAAGGGGTTCCACACAACAATAAGGACTCTTTGTATTCTGAAAAACTGGTTGCTGAGGAGAGGTGGTTGTTTACCAGAGGTGGTCGCAACCGAAGGTTCGACTGTACCTATATTGCACTTTTTCTACGAGTCAAAATAATCAAAGCGCAAGTTGTTGTCCTCACAACATGCACTGTATACGAGAAAGCAAAAAACTTCAGGTTTTGATCTGCACTTTTTAGTAGTAATAATATAAATTAATAATTTCAAAGGTGATAGTAATGGTTGGGGTGTCAGTACTGATGATGTTGATGGTCCCACATACAGCAAATCCATTGTACATGTGTCTTACTTGCTCAGCTCTTAGTATGCTCTGTTGATGAGCAGCAGCTGTAATTTAGGACCAGAGAATGGTATGATCTTTCCATCACCTTGAGCAACAAAACTAGTTTTCATAAAGCCATTTTCAAGCTTGCATTTTTCCTCCAAGATCCTTAATGATGATTACGATGATGATGACAATAATACTGCTTTGACTTAGTCCATCAAGTTGTAGAGTATGTCACGCATCTCATTGTTTGCTTTTAAAACTAGTGATCTCTGGCCAATCCCAGTTGCAGTACTTGTAGAAACTGACAACAATGTTGCCGCTACAAAGCTTGAACAGTGTTTATCACACACTGCTCCAAGTTTCCAGACTTTCGGTCTGGCAGTGCCGACTACACAAATAATATGTAGACTGTGTTAATTTTCGTCTGATATTTTCTCTTTAATTTCATTTCTTCTTTTTCTTTTTTAAAAACGAAACTTTACAGGTGTATGGCAGTTCTCTCTCCTTACACATACAAGGTATTTGTCATTTGAAGCTTTACAACCAATCTACATGTACTTGTGAAAGTGTACCTTCTCAAGTAAATACACTTTTTTATCATTATTCAGCTTGTGTGTTTGTTGTTGACTTTTTATGCTGGCATTGGAACTAAAATTTAATATGACAAGTGCACATAAATTCTCAGTAGACATGCAGAAGAAATAATGAACCAAAAAAGTTCCACTTCAAGTACAGAAAGGAGTTGTACACTGTCAAGTATATTTGGGATTAGTACTTTTAACAATGTTATGATTAACATACATGTAATACTTAATAAAAATATGATTCAAGTATATCTAATTTTATTACTCACTAACTCAATGGAGACTAAGTTTGAAGCATCATGGAAGAGATGGATGTTCAGTAAATCAAACACACTGCAACACAAAATATAATAATCGGTGAAGTTAAAAATTGAATGTCTGAAGGGAAAACTCAGATAAAAAATGTACAGACACCACAACTGTACAATGTACACACATTCCACATACTACACCAGATCAAATAGATCTAATTTAAATAACTCACAGATTGGCTGAAAAACTGGACTATAATATTGTATCGTCTGGAGTATAAACTGTACGTGTAAAAAAGTATGTATTATTGTTTTGCTTAAGGCGTAATAGGCCATTTCTGAGGTACATGTACACGTACCTTGTTCCTCTGTTTCAAAACAAGTCCTTGACAATGTGCAAAATCTCTCAGGAATCTCTTACAGTGTATTTGAAAATAATTTGAGTTTGATTTGCATGAAAATGAAC